TCGAATAAATGGATGGCCAGACAGACAGACAGACAGACAGACAGACAGACAGACAGACAGACAGACAGACAGACAGACAGACAGACAGACAGACAGACAGACAGACAGACAGACAGACAGACAGACAGACAGACAGACAGACAGACAGACAGACAGACAGACAGTTAGTCGAATAAATGGATGGCCAGACAGACAGACAGACAGACAGACACACAGCTAGACAGTTAGTCGAATAAATGGATGGCCAGACAGACAGACAGACAGACAGACAGACACACAGCTAGACAGTTAGTCGAATAAATGGATGGCCAGACAGACAGACAGACAGACAGACACACAGCTAGACAGTTAGTCGAATAAATGGATGGCCAGACAGACAGACAGACACACAGCTAGACAGTTAGTCGGATAAATGGATGGCCAGACAGACAGACAGACAGACAGACAGGCAGACAGACAGGCAGGCAGGCAGGCAGGCAGATAGATACATACATACATACATACATACATACATACATACATACATACATACATACATACATACATACATGCATGCATGCATGCATGCATGCATGCATGCAGGCAGGCAGGCAGGCAGGCAGGCAGGCAGGCAGGCAGGCAGGCAGGCAGGCAGGCAGGCAGGCAGGCAGACAGACAGACAGACAGACAGACAGACAGACAGATAGATAGATAGATAGATAGATAGATAGATAGATAGATAGATAGATAGATAGATAGATAGATAGATAGATAGATAGTTAGATAGTTAGATAGATAGATAGATAGATTAGACTGTCCAAAAATGATTGCAAGGGACACAACCGCTGTACTTAAATATTCCCATAAACTGCATCAGAGTTACAAACTCTTTCAAAATTGCACTACATACACAATCTAAGGATGTGAGGGGGAAAGTTTTTTATAAGATAGATATAGAATATACTTTTACAGATCACTGAAAACCGCCTGTGTAACTACAACCTACCAGGCATGTCGTAAGAGGCGACTAAGGGTAGCGTTGGTCTTCGGGTTGGCTACCTTATCCTATTTAAAAAAAAAATAGTAACTACAAAAACCAACTTATCATCGAAAAGTAAAAAGAGAAAAACTAGAAATACCTAGCCAGCGAAGTTTAGTTCTTTCGTAATATCCTATCCCAGAAGACGTCACAGGACAGTCCAACATTTTAGAGAGTGGTAAGACTGGGTTTACCGGCTTTCTGATGCTTTTAACGACCAGAAACATCTAGAACTGGCCCTAACCCCAACCCCCTACGTCCCACGAGAGAGTGCAGCCTAGGTCCCACAGCTGCATGCAGCATATCTACCACCCCCTGAAATATTAGACTGTCCCGTGACCAGTGGATTTCCCCTGTTTGGGGTAGGATATTAAGAAGAAAAAAAAACACAGGCTTCTCTGACAGAAGAATGATGACACCGTGTGAAGAAAGTCTAAAGCAGCAGTTCTCAACTTATGGGTCGCGACCTGTGGGGGTCGAACGAGCCTTTCACGGGGGTCGCCTAAGACCATTGGAAAAGCACATATTCACTGAAGTTATGCAGTAACAACAAATATAATTTTATGGTTGCGGGTTACCACATGAGGAACTGTATTAAAGGGTCGCGGCGTTAGGACGTTTGAGAATCACTGTTCTAAAGGAATCCGGAACTGCTTTCATCTAGGAAGATTTCCAGAATTGGCGCCTGGAACTTTGAACGATTTAGGAATAACAGTAGATGTATAAAAGTAGACTAAACAGACGCATGGAGAAGGGAGCTAGAATTGAGTTAAATTGAGCTGAGTTGAGGTAAGTTGAGTTGAGTCAAGAACTGACATCACAACACTCGGGGCATTCCCATGCTTGCTGCGTCCTCATCTCCAGCAGCCAGCGCAGAGTTCAAATACTGATGGTACCGGTCACAATCTGGTTATACGTCTTGCCTTTCCTCTGAGTGGAGTGAGTAAGCCAGACCCTCTGATTACACCCAGGTGCCTCATTCTCTCCAGGCCATAATAATCTCCAATCTCTACTTTCCGTTGCTTGTTCAGAAGAGAGCTAGAGAGTAAAAATAACAAGAGGGAGAGAACATGGGGGAGGGGGGCTGCATGCAATAGCAAGGGAAAGAACCACTTGGCGTGAGATGGTTGAGGGCCTATGCTCCATTGGGAGATAACGGCAGAAGAAGAAGAAGAATATGGTCCTTGAAAGTATTAATAAAGTAACAGACAATGTAAAAGAAAGAAGTAGAAAGATAGAAAAACATACTAGACAACATAAAAATCGAAAGCTTCAGTTACTGTACCGGGAATCGAACCTGTCACCTCCAAATGATGTGTGCGCCTCGCTATGGAAACAAGTGTACTAGGAACATAGTCAACAAGGCAACCCCCCCCCCCCCCCCCCCCCCCAGGTGTCTAATTGGCCATGTCTGTCGTACAGCTTGAAATTCGTGTTTATTAAGAGATACGGAAATCCAGGTAGCTCAGGGTCTGCAACTCTAGCCTGACGATATGTTTAGCATATGATTATTCACATTTTGTTATTATCGGTTTTAAAATTGGCCTGTGTTCTAGGATGGGTTTTTATATAAAACTGAATACATGAAATTTCCTATACAGACAGCGGATGTGATACTAATTACCTTACAAATGCGCTACTTCTTAGTGGCGGGGAATAATCAATTTGCACGTGTAAGCGTTCGCAAGAATCGGAATTGTATATCTCCCTCGACATCCGAAACGGTAAAAGAGGAAGTGACGGCGAAAAAGAAAAGCGTTAGCATGTAACGATTACACTAGAAAGGGTATCACGTGTTATTTTTAATCTCATCGCTTCGCTGCTGACTGTATGCGTTTGCAGTTAGCACGGTAGTATTAGTTACTTTTAGCTTGCACACCTTAAAGCTTCTGTATGAGTGGCGTAAGAATGCAGCCAGCGTTCTTGTGGCTATGTTCGAGACATAACCCGAGTGGCGTATGTGTCTTCTTCTGCCTTTCTAGACCGCAATGGAGCATAGGCCCTTATCTAACTCACGCTATCGCATGAAGCTCTCCCATCCTTCTAACTTTATTCTCCAGCTCCCTACTCAATTTGTTTTTTGGTCTTCCTCTATTCCTATGCCCCTGTGGGTTCTAGTGCAAAGACATTTTATTTATATGTTCTCCTGTTTTCTCAATGTGTGACCTATCCAGTGCCAGCTTCTTTTCCTCACCTCTTACTCCACTATAGCTTGCTTAGTTCTACCCCCCCCCCCCCCCAAAGCTCTACATTAGTGATTCTATCATACCGGGGCCCTCACGGGAAGCAAAGAATAGTAACATTGCACCCTACCAGGCAAGTCGTAAGAGGCGACTTTAGGGTAGGGTTGGGCTTAGGGTTGGCTACCTCTTCCTGCAAAAACAATAGCCACAAAAACCAACCAACCATGGATAAGTCAAAAAGAGTGGCGTATTCGTAATAAATAGTAAATATTAATAATAAACATTGAAATAATGCATTATTCTTTGGCATTGAAAAGTGTTAGTCACGATTGCAAGCGTTACATGCGAGCATCGCCATTGCACTGCACTTCTTCTTTATTTTCCTCTTCCTGTTCTTCATCTTCTTCCTCCTCCTCTTCTTCTGCTTCCTCCTCCTCCTCTTCGTGTTCTTCTTCTTCTTCCTCCTCCTCTTCTTCTTCTTCCTCTTCCTCCTCCTCCTCTTCCTTCTCTCCTTTCTCTTCTTCTTCTTTTTCTTCTTCTTTTCCTCTTCTTCTTCCTTTTCTCCTCCTCCTCCTTCTTCTTCTTCATCTTCTTCTTTTTCATCATCATCATCATCATCTTCTTCTTCTTCTTCTTCTTCTTCTTCTTCTTCTTCTTCAACTATCACTCCATTTCTTCTTCTTTTTCTTCTTCTCTTTCTTCTTCTTCTTCTTCTTCTTCTTCTTATTATTATTATTATTATTATTATTCTTTTCTTCTTCTTCTTTTTCTTCTTCTTCTTCTTCTTCTTCTTCTTCTTCTTCTTCTTCTTCTTCTTCTTCTTCTTCTTCTTCTTCTTCTTCTTCTTCTTCTTCTTCTTCTTCTTTTCTTCTTCCTTTTTTTTCTCGTTTTTCTTCTTCTTCTTCTTCTTCTTCTTCTTCTTCTTCTTCTTCTTCTTCTTCTTCTTCTTCTTCTTCTTCTTCTTTAACTATCACTCCATTTCTTCTACTTCTTCTTCTTCTCCTTCTTCTTTTCTTCTGCTTCTTCTGTTTCTTCTTTTTCTTCTTCTTCTTAATATTATAATAATTATTATTTTCTTCTTTTTCTTCTCTTTCTTCTTCTTCCTCTTCTTCTTTTTTATCATCTTCTTCTTTTTCTTCTTCTTTTTCTTCTTCTTCTTCTTCTTCTTCTTCTTCTTTTTCTTCTTCTTTTTCTCCTTCTTCTTCTTCCTATTTTCTTCTTCTTCGTCTTCTTCTTCATATCTTCTTCTTCTTCTTCTTCTTCTTCTTCTTCTTCTTCTTCTTCTTCTTCTTCTTCTTCTTCTTCAACTGTCACTCCATTTCGTCTTCTTCTTCTTTTTCTTTTTCTCTAAATATCATTCCATTTGTTCTTTTTTTAACTGTGATTCCGTTTCTTCTTCTATGACTATGATTCCATTTCACTACACTAACTTAACCCTGTTTTATTTTTCAGATACAAGAATCATAGTTAGAAATTCAACACTACACCTAACAGTGGCTCTGTCTAATGTTCTGTTGGTGATACTGTCTTAGTGGCAACTATAAGTACGTCAACTGTATGGTAACTGAAAGAAACACACTTCTTTCTGCTGACGACTTCAACCTGACAAACCATTAGCCATCCATTTAGCTACAATGAACTTGCCAGTAACGGATGTGTGTGAACAGTAATGCTAACTTACTTTCAACAGTCAAGAACTCAAAGTTAAATATTATTCCTAAAAAGACTTGTGCTATCAGTAACTTGTCAGTGATCCTACATGTGTAGACAGTAACACAAGTCGACGTAAAACTGTCAATATGTTTGGGAGGAAATTTCTACCACAAAGCTCACAGCGAAGACTGAAGAAGTTCATCTTTTTGATGATCCTGGTCACGACTCTCTTTGTGGTCATGGTAACAGCAGGGATGTACGGTCTCTCACTGTTGGACAGTTCAATGTCCCTGGTCAAAGCTGACATCGTCGAAAGCAAACCCAGAATTGCTATACCATCTGACGGAGATTACCGTTTAGAAAGTCCCCTGAAGTCGGATTTCTCCCGAGGACAGAGCAAAATAATTGATGACTTATTGGGAAGTCAGGTATGTTTTTTTCCCCCTCTTCTCTGATTCCAATAAGTCCCCTCTAAGACCAAATTATCAGGTGCTTTATTAATATCCTACCCCAAACAGAGGAAATCCACATGCCACGTTACAGTCTAATACTTCTGGGGGTGGTAGATAGGCTGTATGCTGTTGTGAGAGCTAGGCTGCATGCAGTCGCGGAACCTAGGCTGCACTCTCTCGTGGAACGTAGGTGGGTTGGGCTTAGGGCCAATTCTGGATGTTTTGGGGTCGTTAGGAGCATCGGAAAGCCGGGAAACCCAGTCTTACCACCCTCTAAAATTTTGGAATGTCCCGTGACGTCATCTGGGGGAGGTAAGAGGTATATGGCGCTAAACTTATGCAGGTTATACAGTAAAATATAAAAATCTATAGAAGTTGTATATGAAGCTAGATTTATACAGGCTATATAGTAACAAATAAAACTGTATTCAAAAAAGAGTATACAGAGCTAGACCAGATTATTTAGGAAAATATAAAAATCAATTCAGAGGGTAGATGGACTGTCATTTGGAGACGTGTGATGGATAATCGGAAGAGAAATTTGACTCAGTTTTACTGTGATCTTGTCTCCTAGACAACGGAGCTAGTCTCGAATCTGTATGAGGAAAACTGATTACAGAGGAGGCACATTACGTGGACACAGGATCCATGTTGGTGATGTTTACTCCAACCGAGGCATCTTCCTCGTCACAGTCTGCCTGAAAGAAACTCGGTCTCTCGCCAGCTCTCCTTCCTCAGGTTCTTTCTTACTCAAGGAGTCACTTATATCCTATGCCTATCATCGCGTTGAACAGAGGCATAATAATGTTTAAAAAGTGCTCTGATTTTCTGGAAGACATAACAAAATAATTTACTGACTTCTAACCCCACTAGGACATCACACTGAGCGATATAAACACCCGGTGACACAAAGTGACACTATCTGGATGAGGATCACATATGGAGAGGTCCCAGAAACCCGGTTCAACCGTTAGGTTATACTAGAACTACCGACAACAACCAGGGTGGGGCATCAAAATAACGAAAAATACATCCCACATGGGGACGAGGAATTTGCATGCAAATAATTTATGACTTACTCGATGCATAGATATATGTCTTTATTACCATTTTCTGTTGAGTAATTTCCCTTGGTTATGTTTTTCCTGGTCTAACAGAAATATGACAAAAGAATACCATGCTACTGGTGTTGTCTCCATCTGAAGATATAAACCATTTCGATATCTTCAGATGTTCAAGAACAGGTTGGTTGGTAGTTGTACCCCAACAGGACATCACACAAGTGATAAACACCCGGTGACAGAAAGTACCACCATGCGGATGAGGATCACCTGTGAGAGGTCCCAGAAACCCCTTTCAGCCGTTAGACCATATTTATGGCCCTGTTATATTCACGGCCTTTGCAGAAGCCAGGGTGAGGCTTCAAATAAAACAAAAATTGCATCCCACATGGGGACGACTTTTATTAGTTTCAATAACAGGGCAAATTAATTGAACATTTTACCAGAGTAGAGGTATGTTTCTATTGGTACCAACATCTGATTACTTCCCTTGGTTCATAGGTCGCATAAGACGAGGACCTCTATTGACTGTAATCTTGCATCCTCAGGTTTTGTTGGGACCTTGCCCCTGACTGAGATCTTAGTTTGAGTAACTTTTACAAGATCCCCCTCCAACACTGACCCCCTCCAGCACTGACCCCCTCCAGCACTGACCCCCTCCAGCACTGACCCCCTCCAGCACTGACCCCCTCCAGCACTGACCCCCTCCAGCACTGACCCCCTCCAGCACTGGTAGCATATACTGACCCCCTCTAGCACTGACCCCCTCCAGCGCTGGTAGCATATACTGACCCCCCTCTGGCTGGCACTGGTAGCATATACTGACCCCCCTCTGGCTGGCACTGGTAGCATATACTGACCACCTCCAGCACTGGTAGCATACACTGACCACCTCCAGCACTGGTAGCATTCACTGACCACCTCTGGCACTGGTAGCATCCACTGACCACCTCTGGCTGGCACTGGTAGCATACACTGACCACATCCAGCACTGGTAGCATACACTGACCACCTCCAGCACTGGTAGCATGCACTGACCACATCTGGCACTGGTAGCATACACTGACTACCTCTGGCTGGCACTGGTAGCATACACTGACCACCTCTGGCTGGCACTGGTAGCTTACACTGACCACCTCTGGCTGGCACTGGTAGCATACACTGACCACCTCTGGCTGGCACTGGTAGCATACACTGACCACCTCCAGCACTGGTAGCATACACTGACCACCTCTGACACTGGTAGCATACACTGACCACCTCCAGCACTGGTAGCATACACTGACCACGTCTGGCACTGGTAGCATACACTGACCACCTCTGGCACTGGTAGCATACACTGACCACCTCCAGCACTGGTAGCATACACTGACCACCTCTGGCTGGCACTGGTAGCATACGCTGACCACCTCTGACTGGCACTGGTAGCATACACTGACCACCTCTGGCTGGCACTGGTATCATACACTGACCACCTCTGGCACTGGTAGCATACACTGACCACCTATGGCTGGCACTGGTAGCATACACTGACCACCTCTGGCACTGGTAGCATACACTGACCACCTCTGGCTGGCACTGGTAGCATACACTGACCACCTCTGGCTGGCACTGGTAGCATACACTGACCACCTCTGGCACTGGTAGCATACACTGACCACCTCTGGCTGGCACTGGTAGCATACACTGACCACCTCCAGCACTGGTAACATACACTGATCACCTTCATCACTGGTAGCATACACTGACCACCTCCAGCACTGGTAGCATACACTGACCACCTCTGGCACTGGTAGCATACACTGACCACCTCCAGCACTGGTAGCATACACTGACCACCTCTGGCTGGCACTGATAGCATACACTGACCACCTCAGGCTGGCACTGGTAGCATACACTGACCACCTCCAGCACTGGTAGCATACACTGACCACCTCCAGCACTGGTAGCATACACTGACCACCTCCAGCACTGGTAGCATACACTGACCACCTCTGGCTGGCACTGGTAGCATACACTGACCACCTCTGGTTGGCACTGGTAGCATACACTGACCACCTCCAGCACTGGTAGCATGCACTGACCACCTCCAGCACTGGTAGCATACACTGACCACCTTCAGCACTGGTAGCATACACTGACCACCTCCAGCACTGGTAGCATACACTGACAACCTCTATCTGGCACTGGTAGCATACACTGACCACCTCTTCCTGGCACTGGTAGCATACACTGACCACCTCCAGCACTGGTAGCATACGCTGACCACCTCTGGCACTGGTAGCATACACTGACCACCTCCAGCACTGGTAGCATACGCTGACCACCTCTGGCACTGGTAGCATACACTGACCACCTCCAGCACTGGTAGCATACGCTGACCACCTCCAGCACTGGTAGCAAACACTGACCACCTGTAGCACTGGTAGCATACACTGACCACCTCCAGCACTGGTAGCATACACTGACCACCTCTGGCACTGGTAGTATACACACGAACCGATACACGCCGTTTATGATCGCAGATTGTGGAGAGGCATGATCGCCCACGCTGGTCAACAAGGCACTTGATGTTGATGATTGTTATGTTGTTGTTGATGATGATGATGATGATGACTCTAGTGCTGTATTTAGGTTTTCAAATGAACGAGCTAAAGATGCTTTAATGTCCACACACGATTATTCTTTTTTACAACAGAAAGATGGTTTCTTTGTGGAACTGGGCGCCGGAGATGGAGAGACAAACTCCGTGAGTCTGTTCTTTGAGAGGGAAAGAAACTGGGGCGGAGTTCTGGTGGAGGCAAATGAGAGTAAGCACCGCCAGGCTGTGGGGAAGAGAAGGAAGTCACTAATGTGGAACTTCCGGCTGCGCATGGATGAAGATGTAAGAGTCGGTTGTGTGGCAGTTGTGTTGAGTAACTGAGATGTGTTGGGTTATCGGGATATGTTGTGTAAATTTTGTATTGAGTAGTTAAGATGTATTAGATAGGGGTTGTTTTTATGAAAAAACTGCACGAGTGGATGGTAATGATGATGATGACAATGGTGGTGGTGATGATGATGAATATGACGACGACAATGTTGATGATGACGATCACAATGGTGGTGGTGATGACGACGATGACGATGATAACACGACGATGATAATGGTGATGATGATGATGATGATGACGGTGATTATGACGACGATAATGATCATGAGTGATAATGATGATCATGAATGACGATGATGATATTGACGATGACAATGGTGGTGATGACGACATTGATGATGAAGATGATGATGACAACGATGAAGATGATGGTGACGACGATGATGATGTTTATGATGATGTTTTTGTTGATGATAATGCTGATTACAGTACCAGTAATGATGATGAGAGTGCTGAGGATAACGACGATGATTGCAGTGGTGGTGGTGGTCATAATTATAATGACGATGATGATGCGGACGATGATGATAACGACGATGATGATGTGGAGGTCGACGGCGAAGATGATGCTCTTGGTGACAAGAATGATGATGGTAATGGTGATAATGATGATGACGACAGCTAGGATGATCAAGATTATATGTGACTATGATGATGATAATCATGATGATGTTGTTGTAGATGATGATGATGATGATGACGACGATGACGACAAAAGAATAAATGTTCCTCTTCTTAGCATTGACCGGCTTTAAGCTACGACAGAAAGTTTTTGTTTTTCGTCCACTTCTGAACCTTGCTTTTGTGTCAGAACCTGAGTTTTGCGAATACATTCGTTTTACAGATCTGACTTATTTGTATGCAGACTGTTGGTTCCTTGCCTCTCATGTAGATGCACTCCGACTTCAAAAAAATCACTCAATCAGTCACCTTTTACAACATGCTTGTCACGTGGGGAATATCCTTCTTAATCAGCAGTTCCTTTTATAATTATATTAACATCTCGGGCTATCCTCCGAATAACGGTCCCAATATATCGAAGCAGGAAATATACCCTAACAGGGCCTCAGTCATATGTAAATTGCGGACCTCTTTCCGGCGACTTCACCACGGAAAATCTTCCGCCGAGTTAAAATCACCACCGAGAGCATCTCCTGGGGCTAAACTAGATGGATGGGACTCACGAGCAGCAGCTACCGAATCTCCTGCAGCTTCCTCCATTAGATTTGCTCGTGAGTCGCAGCCATCTAGTATATCCCCCCCCCCACCCCACTTCCGCGCCGCGGGAGATACTCTTAGTGGTGGCGGTATTGTCGCTGGAAAGACGTCCGCAGTTTACATATGACTGAGGCCCTGTTAGGGTATATTTCCGGTCTCGATAATTTGGGACCGTTATTCGGAGGATATCCACATCTCCTCTTAAGAGATTCGTTAACAATTCCTCTTAGAAATAAGTCAATAGTTCTTATTAGAAGTGTTTTGGTAGTTCTTTGAAATATGTAAATAACTCCTCTTAGAAATATGTTAACCTGCATTTTAGAGGTATTGGGAAATTTACATAAAGTAATTAAAGTGTAGTATGATCTTTTCCTCTTATGCTCCACAAAAATACAACACACTAAAGATAAATCCAAAGCGAATCACACAAAGAAGTTATTAAATCTACTCCTGGAAACATAAACTTATTAATGAATTAAAAGGAATGTTGAAATCACCTATTAATATTACTCAGTGACAAGAAAAACAAAACAGAACACACACTGAAACAATGTTGGCCATTTTTCGTCGGCCTGCAGACGTAACGTGGCCAGATTTTGAAGCCAGACCTTCCTTAAGCTGGCCATGGGTGGTCAGTGGGTCCATTCTTATGGTGCTCCTGAGGCCAGACTGGAACGACAGACAAAAACTAAGTCACAGATAAATATATGTATTTGAAAACACAATTCTGACAGATTAAATAAAAACTTGTTTTTTTTTTTTTTTAATGGAGGGACGGAGGTGTTGGTGGATGTAGGAATTTATTGAAATTGAATGTATCGGGCACAAATATCGTAGTCCAGCTGCAAACCTAAACACAACGTTCCAACCACAATCCTTTTTAATACGAACGCAAGAAGAAGAAGAAGAAGAAGAAGAAGAAGAAGAAGAAGAAGAAGAAGAAGAAGAAGAAGAAGAAGAAGAAGAAGAAGAAGAAGAAGAAGGTGATGATTAAACATCAATAAATAAAATTAATAATTCATTCTTTCTCTCATGCCAGATGACCACAGATACAAAAGACGATATTCGACTTGAGCGATTGTTCCAGATGATAAACCGCACGTCTATTGACCTCCTGGCGATAAATCTAAACGGTTTTGAGTCTGAACTTATAAAGCAGATTGACCTAGCCAAATATAACATCCGGGTTATCACGGTAGAACTACAAAACACTGTGAGCAAGGAGAGGTATATGGCGATCACAGATTACCTAACCTCCCGCGGGTACACGGTGGCCCACCATCTCATTAACACCATGCTGGGAAAGAAAGATGTTGTTTATACGAAATTATAGCTCTGGGTTAGATGAGAAGCGAGGTCGTGTCAGTTCAGGGTGGCTTGGATAGCTCTGGGTACTTTCATTGAAGCCAAACATAACTGGTAGCAGGAAGGGGTTGGTCTATGTAAATTGTCGCTCAGATGTTAATTCTCGGGATTGCCTTCTTCTTTCATTTTCTTCTTTGTCTTTCTTTCATCTGTAAATAAAACGCAGGACGTCATGCAAGTTTCTCTCTCTCTCTCTCTCTCTCTCTCTCTCTCTCTCTCTCTCTCTCTCTCTCTCTCTCACGCTATTTCCTTCTCTTGATACATACACATAAACACACATATATATAGGGTTTCCACGGTTTGCGACTATGCTCTGCTCCGACTATTAGGTCATAGGCAGAAGTGGTCGTAAGTTGAATTTATATATATATTTTTTTTTTCAAACACTAGTTTAATTGAAACGGGTTACAACAGTTATACATAAAACACAATAATTCAGTCTATATGCGTATAATTATTGTTCATAATGTACTCTGGGCATTCGTTCCGGAAACTCTTGGGCCCTACCAGTGTAGTTATCTTTCTTTATTCACTAGTTTTATTTAATAATCATTTACTGTTGTATGTGTGTATATAGCGCATTCTATGGTGAGCTGCAAAATGGGAAACGTTCCCAAGGCGGGCAAAAGAAACACTTTAAGGACACCTTGAAGTCTTCACTCAAAGCATTTGGGATGAATGACACCACTTGTGAGGCTGCCTCTCAAGACCGAAATGCATGGCGTGCAGCTCTACACAAGGGCGCGGCTACATGTGAAACAAACAAAACAGCACGGATGATTATGAAAAGGATGGACAGAAAGGCAACTGCAGGAGATTCCCCTCCCTGGCACAACGCTCATTCCCTGTCCTCACTGTCCAAGAATTTTTCGGGCCCGCATCGGCCTCATCGGTCATCTCCGTACTCATACTTGATGAAAAAGAGTGGTCATCATCATCTTGATGGACAACAACACACATATAGCGCATAAATGCCTTTGAATACAAATGTTATAGACGGGTTCTAAGAATATCATGGGTTTTAAAAAAATGCATTCATGAAACGTCACGAAAGTTTAGAGAGAACAAGAATGGAGGGGTATATGCCTGGGAAGAGAAGAAGAGGAAGGTCAAAGAGAAAAAATGGGTGCAGGGTGTGGCGGATGATCTCCTGATAGATTTATCGGACGCGGGACATCTTTCGTGTGATCGAGTCGTTTTCCGGAAGGTTGTTATGAAAGCGAGGTCCCGCAAGGACGTGCTACTAATTGACTGAAGTATACAAGGCGGGAATGCTGGCGATAAATCGAGTTTCCTTTAGACAGACTGTGATGAGAGCGACGTTCTGCAAAGGACCTGCTACATGATGATGAGTTAAGCTGAGTCAAGAATTGACATCACAGCACTCCCAGGGGTGTTCCGTCCTCAACTTCAGCAGCCAGCGCAGAGTTCCGGTACTGATAGTACCGGTCACAATCTGGTTATATGTCCGTCTTGCCGGCCAGACCCTCTGGTTACACCCAGGTGCCTCATTCTCTCCAGGCTATAATAATCTTGTTTCTCAACTGATTCCTTTGCTTGTTCACATAGGACCTTGACCTCACCTGCCTTGATGAGTGTGTACATATATGTATGTGTATGTAAAGTACACAAGTCTTTGTGCGTGTGCGTGTCGATGTAATTGTTTAAAATCAGTGTAAATAAAAGTGCGTTTTTCTCCCTGTGTGTATTGAGTTATTTTTTCTCCCGTGGGCTCCGGGGTTCTTTTGTGGGGCGGGGGGGGGGGCAAGAATATACCCACTGCCTCCTCAACAACCATGTCGCAGGAGTCGAGAAACTGGGCGCATCGTTCGAAGTCGGAACACATCTGCCGTAATGCAAAGACTCAAGAGTCTGCATATAAATAAGCTAGATCTGTGGAACGGATGTGTACGCAACGCTCAAGTTCTGGAACACGACTAAAGTCGGAGGCGGATGAACACCCAGAACCCTCTGCCCAAGTTTACAGCCGGTGAACACGAAGAAGAAAAAGAAGAATTGTTTGTGAATTTTCTAGTAAGTAACGATTTCGTTTTTAACCATAGGGCCTGATAACTGGGTCTCCAGTAAACTGGAGACGGTCATGGAATAACACTCTGGCCTGTCAACCCATAGTAAAGGGTTTGAATCCTCGTCGAAGCAATTGTTTTGAGATTTAACTGGGTCGCCATATCGACCCAACTTATGATGGGTGGGTGAAAATATCATGGGAAGTAAAAACGACCAGGGCGATGTTGGCAGTAACATTTATAGAGTAACCACCCCCGGGCCACCTAATCGTATTCCAAACACGCTGACACAGAGAAAACATTGGAATGTTCAGACCCCACCAACACACACATCTTCTAGTAAAAAATTGGGAGTGTTCAATGGCATATTGCTAGTTTAAGAAAATAATAATAATAATGTGCTGATTAGTAATAGACACTCTGGGGGTAAGTACTAGCACCGCTTTAATACACTTTGTGTTTTGAGTTCCGGCACCTTATTTTCTGGGGGGGGGAATGGGGCTGGGGGGGGGACACCAGGGGCGGGCGGTTAAACCATCTTGCCTGTATTGTATGACTGTGTCAGTTTTCTAATTTGTATTTCTTGTCTGTCCAGGATATTCTCCAAATTCTTCTAACCCTTCCTGTCCACTGCCTACAGTTTATTCCTTCGTTTTATTACTCAATGTCCAGCATTTGCGTCCACTCGGACTGATTGACTGACTTTCCACCCCACCAGGACATCACACAAGCGATAAACACCAGATGACACAATGTGCCACCATGCGGGTGAGGATCACCGTGGAGAGGCCCCAGAAACCGCGTTCAGCTTTTAGGCCATATTTATGGCCAGGCTATATCGCGGCCCCTGGCAAGATCCAGAGTAGGGCTTCAAATAACGAAAAATTTCGTCCTAATAAGGACGAGAACTATATATAGGAGTTATGTTAACGTCCACTCGGACACACGGCCTACTGTATTTATACTGCCGGTGGACTCGCGCACACACACACACAAGCTGGAAAGTTGTGGACAAACATTGTCGCCCAGGCTTTGGTAAAAACATAATAGTGCAAGTTTAGTGCAATGATTCATGCGTAAGAACACTTTCTCTAAATTATCAGTCCACAGTTTTTGAAAACATTTCACTAAAATATATCAAATAAAACATAGAATTTGAATTAAGAATGTAACACACATAAGAAATATAAAGTTTCAGATGTTTTTGGTTGAAATAACAAATTAAACAACAAAATAGATTTGGGATTCTTTTCTTGACATCCTCATTTCCACTAAGTGAGAGTCCCTGACCCCGATGTCAAAGGTCGCACTACGTATTTCCGGCAAGCCGTCACTTTTGCTGGAGACGTGGACAAGAAGGCGGTACTAGACGGACTTGCTTGAAGTCTCTCTCCTGCTACAAGTTGTTGTTGTTCTACTCGATCTTTTTCTCCTCACACAACACATCATGGCCAACAAACAGCGCATGAGACTGGCTAGCGAGAAGCACAGTAAGAATATCACGACAAGGGGAAATGTGCCGAAAACTTTGGTGAGTAGGAGTTGGTAGACTAGAAACGTGTCAGATTGCGTAGTTACTTGTGATTCTCATCCTCATATCAAGTGATTGTAAATTTATAGTTCTTTCGTCCATGTAAGTCTATGTATCATCGTTTTCATGTCTTATCTTGACAGTTCAGTCTTAAGTGTTTTGCACCAAGAATTGCTTAAATGTGCCGCAAATCCAGTCAGGTTTCTCATCTCAAGTGTCAATCATTAAGTGAGAAACGGGAACAAAAGTAAAAGGACTCAAACTAAACCAACAGGCCTATTTTATAATTCCACTTGGTTTCATCTCATGTTGTTTACTACTGCACTTAACTATTTTCTTTTGGTGAATAATAATAATAAAGATAAACTAAACAATAAGATTAAGGCCACTTATGAAGTTTTCTTCCTGCTAGCCTAAGGTACCTGAAAACTTACAAGGGTCTGCAGTGAATCAAGTTCCTGTTCTTGCCTCTTACTAGTATATTGATCTGTCATTGATACTGCCAGTGATAGTATGAATGATTGTTACTGTTACAGACTAATATTATAAAAGTTTAGAACTGTTGATAAATCATCACCATCATCTAGTAGTTTGTCAGCTGTAGAGAAAGCAAAAGACCAGCAGTAGAAAGGGCACATTTCAATCAGTTATCTGTATTGCATGAGTTCTGGGGCCCCATTGGAGGGAAAATAAGAATACTCGCAGTGCCCCCCTAACAAGCATATCGTAAGAGTCAACTTGGCTATCCTCCAAATAACGGTCCTAAATTATTGAGCCGGAAAATATACCCTAACAGGGCCTCAGTCACGTGTCAATTGCGCACTTCTGGGGACTGTAACGCCACCGCCGGATTGCGAACTTCCGGCGACTTCTGCCACCGCCGAGAGTAACCCTTACGCCGCTCACACGGCGTGGATTGGGACTAAACTAGATTACTCACAAGCAAATAAAATGATGGAAGCTGCAGGAGATGTGGTAGCTGCTGCTCATGAGTCCCAGCCATCTAGTTTAGCCCCAATCCATGCCGTGTAAGCCGCGTGGGGGATAATACTCTCGGCGGTGACGGAAGTCGCCAGAAGTGCGTAATTGACACGACGTGACTAAGGCCCTGTTAGAATATATTTTCCAGCTCGATAATTTAGGACCGTTATTCCGAGGATAGCCGTCAACTTATTAAGGGTTTCCTTCGAAGTTGGAGTGCATCTGCCTGAGAGCCGACAAGGAACAAAAAATCTGCTTACAAAGAAGCAGATCTATAAAATGAATGTGCATGCAGAAGTCAAGTTCTAGAACAAGAATAAAGTCCTGAACAACCAAAAATGTTATGCTGGTGTAGACAGCCAGCGAACGCTAAGAAGAAGCTTCTGTTGCAGCTATAGCCACGTCTGCCTTGGAAATAAATCTCTGGCG